AGATAGATAGATAGATAGATAGATAGATAGATAGATAGATAGATAGATAGATAGATAGATAGATAGATAGATAGATAGATAGATAGATAGATAGATAGATAGATAGATATAAAGATCATCCACTGCATTTCATGACTCAGGGGCTAAATCCAACATTTTAACCAGTACCCCATGCAGGGAAGAAGTGAGTGTGATGCCCCAGGTGAAATAAAATCAGCCTCATGACTTAAGGCTTATAGCATTTTCTCTATCTCCTTTTTCAAAACAGGTGCTTCTGACTTAACGGCATTCAGTGATCCAAGAGTGGGAATTGATCGTCCTTTCCCTTCAATTCCTTCCATTTCTGATCCACGCATGCACTATCCTGGAGCGTTCACTTACACTCCAACACCTGTCAGCTCAGGAATAGGAATTGGTATGTCTGCCATGACTACTGCCACAAGATATCACACTTATCTACCCCCTCCATACCCAGGTTCTTCTCAGGCTCAAGGTGGCCCATTTCAGACCAGCTCCCCTTCTTACCATCTATACTATGGAACATCAGCCGGATCATACCAGTTTTCCATGATGTCTGGAGGAGATCGGTCACCCCCTCGTATCCTTCCTCCTTGCACTAATGCTTCTACAGGATCTACTCTCCTCAATCCAAACCTTCCAAACCAAAATGATGTTGTGGACACAGAAGGCAGTCATAGCAACTCCCCTACCAACATGGGGACCACAGCAAGACTAGAAGAAGCAGTATGGCGACCGTATTGAGTTTTATACTGCGGATGTTTTATCTGCTGATATCCATGGTTTTCTCATGAGTGGTTGAGGGCCCTGACATGTTCATATATTACACAGACAAATCATCAGTCCAGATGGCAGTGTTTTCAGGAATGGTATCATGCTGTCATCCAGTTGATTTTGCTCTCTAAGGTGATAACATTCCCAAAAGTTACACTTGCCGAAAGGCTGAACTTCTGAAGATGAAAATAATTTAAGACGGTAGTACTACTCACTCACATTGTCTATAGATGTGGTGAAAGAACAGAAACATGAAGGCTTCAGTTTCAAAACTAGTTTTGGAGGTCCTCAAAGTTTTAAAAATTGTTTTTGTTTTTTTTAAAGATCTGGTTTGGAGACTTAAAAGTCTTACACAATCATGATCAGTTTAATGAGTCATTTATCTTATTAGTATAAAAGAAGTATAGGAAGATTCTCAGAGAGAAACTGTGAATACTTCTGATTTAGCAATGCTGTGAATAAGAGGGTTTTTTTTATCCTGGAATTATTTTTTTTAACCAAGTTGTATATTCCAAAGAGAATGGGAATTCTTTTTCAATTTTTATTACTTTTGGGATGCAATTCATTCATCTTTACATATCATTTTTATTTCTTCTTTTGCACCTTAAACTTGCAGAAAGATCTAATCTTTTTTGTTATATGTGCTTGCTTCTCTCACAGTATATCAGCTGAATGCATCCAAAGCAAAGCAAAACAAAACAAAACCCTTCCAGGAAGGTAGTTTAATTTCTCCTTTAATATAAAAAAGTGACAACTTAGAGTTCTTTTCAACTACTGAAAACATATATGATGAGTTGCTCAATATTTATGCTCGGTTTGAGTTTTTGTGTGTGATTTTTTTATTTAAATATACTTTAAAGATAAGCACATGCATTTTGTAGCAACCAAAGTTTAAAATTACCACATATAAAATGGCTGGAGTAATTATGGGTAATATTACTTTTAATTATTTAGGAGTATTGTTTACATTTCTCTTATCTCACTTTCATCCATCATTTAATATCCAGTGAAGACTTTTTTTTGTCCCATTGAGAAGTAAAAATATGTTAATGGTTGCATGTTGGAAGTTGTGTCAATGTGTCTCCATTCTTCAAAAAACAAAAAGATGAAGGAGAAGAATTTTGCATCACAATTTATGCCACAATTTTATCCCAACAGTTATAACAGAAGTTATGGAACAGGTGTCAGGCATTGGAGGCCGGGGCTGGTCTCTGAGAAACACTGGGATTATCCAGGAGACCTAAATGATTATACTGCACCTAGTTACACTGAGCTCTGTTTTATTGCATCTAGATCTAAAAAGCAGCAGAAGTGAAAAATAAATTCAAATATAGCAGGATAACCTGATACTATGTAGGCAGCAGTTTGTGGACCTGTATCTTAAGGGGAAAATATGACACATTCTGAACATTTTACTTCAATCTACCGGGCAATGCAGAAACCTGTTTAAGGCTGTGGTATTAACAGTCAATCATTTAAATGCAAGTTCCACGTAAATCAATAGAGCTAAGAGCTACACTAGACATGATGTATGGTCACAAATATAGTTGCTGCAGATTTTAAAGTGACAATGACAGCGACAACAAACACCACCAAAAGCAAAAGGAGGCTGTAAGTCTGAGCAGAGGAATATGACAGTTCATTATTTCTCAGTTAGCCAAACATAGACAAATGGTTGTGATGTCATCTCAGAAAATTCGGCATATGTGTGCCATTTGTTAGGAACTCTTGGCGTAATTAGCTGTTTCCCCTGTAAACATTTACCCCCTCACTTATCTCCAATTGGCTTTCCAATCATAGAATACTTGAGCTGGAAGGGACCTATAAGGCCATCGAGTCCAACCCCCAGCTCAATGCAGAAATCCAAGTCAAAGCAGATCTGATGGATGGTTGTCCAATTTTCTCTTGAACGCTTCCTGCACTGGAGATGAGGAAGAACAGTAGTGGTTGTCCCAGGTGTTATAACAATAATATAATAATAATAGTATTAATGATCTTACAACTGTAGAGCTGGAAGGGACCCTATGGATCACTGAGTCCAGCCCCTGTCAAGGAGGCACAGTGGGAATTTGAAATCCCAACCTCTGGCTCCACAGCCAGAAACCTAAACTGCTGAGGTATTCAGGAGTTCTGTTTTGGCCTGTAAGCCCCCATCATCCTTTACCATGAGCTATAATAATTAACACTACTGTTAACTGAAATATTTGGAAGGCCAGCCATTCCCCACCACAGATACTGTATGTGAGAAGATATATTAATACTTCTGAATACTTTCTAGTACAACTGGAAAATCATCTAGGTATTTTTAATGAAAAAAATTGTGGTTATGCTCCTGCCTTGCACCATTCCTTCATTCAAACTTACAATCTCCTGACATTAATTTAGTTAAAAAATAAATGTTGGCATATTGTTTGTTATACAGTGGACCCTCGACTTACAGACGGCTCAACTTACAGACTTTTCGAGTTACAGACTTCTCTGGCTGCAAAATTTAGATTCGACTTGCAGCCAGAGAATCGACTTACAGACCAGAAAAAAACCAAAATGGAATAAAAATAGAATAAAAACCACTGGTTATGGGATTACTCGATTTTCAGTGCATTGTAGGTCAATGGAGATTCGACTTACAGACTTTTCGACTTGCAGCCACCATTCCAATATGGATTAATTCCTTAAGTAGAGGGTCCACTGTATTCAGTTTGAGCCTCAGCTCCACAGCAATATATTTAGATTCTGGAACAGAGCAACATATGCTGCAGTTCCCAACATTGATTCCAGAGTTATGAGAGGAAAACAGAATAACACCCAAAACAGGTACATTGATACAGCTTTTCTGTTTTCATGATATCAACATGGTTCTTGTTATGGAATTTTGACTGTTCACCTCAAATGCATCAGATATCACTGTAAATTAAAAGGCACTATATCATGTGAAGGCTTGGTCTGAAAGCAATTGTACTCATTAAATGAAAACTACTGAAGTCAACAAATTCAGAACTAACCTTTGACTATTAATGGACCTTTATAAATTGGTGGAACAATTGCAGGTCAACTCTTGTGAACATTTGAAAGCAGGACTTCAAATCAGTATTGGGTATATTAAAAAAATTAATAAAAGGATTTGGTCTAGAACAATCCTTGGCTGCAGGCAGCAAAACACCTGAACTTATTTAAAGTAGCTGTTTGTTTTGAAATATATATATTGTTTGTGTGTCTGATGCAGTAGCACTTTGGTACAAAATGTTACAGACCTAAGCAACTCGTGTCATCAATAACGTCAACCTTTTGCAAAAAATTATTTCAGCTGATCTCAGCCAAAATTCAAGAGATTACAGATAGTTGCTTTCACCTTTTTGGGATTAGTATACTATTGGATTTTTGAAAGTAAATACTAGGTTTTTGAAAGTAAATATTAGGTTTTATTTGAGTTACAGCATGTTTTGTGATTGGAGGATTTAAGTTGCCTTTTAAAAACACATTTGAAAGAGAAAACAATTCTGTATTTTGGAAATTTATATATATATATTTCCAAAATAAATTTCCATTAATTTCCAAAATATATATTTCAAAATAGTTAATCCTCCCAAACTTTTATAATGGCCTTCTCTGAATTTTGTTTGTTTGATTCTTTTGCTTTCTGATGACATTTAAATGTGTTGTTCATGTGAACATTTCTACAGGATCCAATTTAAAATTCAGTGCATTTTCTTATGCTTCAGTTGCTCGCTGTCAACATCCCTTTAGACAAAAAAGGACAATCAATTATCATAGATAACAGTAATCAGTTTCACTGTATATAATTTACAGCTTATACTGAAAAAAGTATATCTTTTTCTCCAGAAAGTGAAGTTGCTTCTGCACCATTACTGATTAACAAGATGCTATTGTGCTGGTTTTCTGAGAAATAAGTCTCACTGTATTCTGTGGGACTCACTTGTTTTACTAGCATCCTGTACAAATGGATTGAAATGGAAGTTCAAAAATATTAACTTTTCCTAGTGATGACTGTCCAAGCACTTTCATCTTTCAGGGACTTTCTGTACAGTAAATTCGTAACTGCCTTGTTACCAGAGTAGACTTTGTTTTGTCCAGCTCAGTGTTGTCTACCCATACTGGTAACAGCTTCTCAAACTCTTGGACAGAGATTTTTCATAACTATGGTTTTAAATGGAAATGCCAGAGGCTTCATTTGGGATCATCTGCATTCAAATCATGTGCTCTATCAGGGTTGTTCCAAGACATTTGCTATATGAGGCAAAGCAGCAAGTGCACCCTGTGATGATCTTTGTGATCAACACAAAGTCTATGGACCAATTTTGGCACTTGAGGTAGAAAATCCCACAAGCAACTTTTCCCACGTCTCACTGTTAATATAGCATAGTAAAGAACTAACCATTTCTTTCATGACACCCCAAATCTGCCACCTATGTTGCTCGCCTCACTCTGCCTAATGTTTGGGCCAACCCTGCTGTCAGTAAATGACAGTTTCCCTTCTCCAGATATTTCCTCCGGTGTCTGTGCTAAATGCATCCCACCGTATGCACTTTTGCATCTTGTAAACATTGAAAAAGAAAATTATAAAACCTATATTAGGCTAGTTATTTTTTTAGGTCAGTTTAAAGTTCACCACACCAAAAGCAAAATGAACATAAACCAAACAGAGCAGCTTGGAGAATAATATCTAACATTTCACCTCTTACCTATGCCTGCCTTTCTAGGTAAAAATTATATCACATTGTTTATTATTGATATCAGAATAATTTCAGTTACTTCCACCTTCAACCTTCATTTCATAATGAAGTGTCTCCTGTCCCTGGAGATCCCTCCACAGAACATTTAACATACTATCATCACTACCTCTCCCAAGACAGAGAATGTATAACACCTCCCGTCAGCCTTCCTTTAAGGAAACAAAACAGAGCTGCCTTTCCAAAGCCCTTAACACACACAGACACACACACACACACACAGAGAGAGAGAGAGAGAGAGAGAGAGAGAGAGAACATTTAGATCAGATTGTGGAGATTCAGTTTGATAATGAGACACAGAGAAAGCTGTATGCATATTCTAAGATGCATTGCAAAATATCCTTCACAGGTAGGTATTGACTGCCTTAGGTTTTATCCTGCAAAACATTTCTGTTTAATTACATAGGTCAGTTATTTTTGAATGTTGTGCCTCTAACTGTGAGAATTTACTGGTACATTTTTTTTTTCTTATCACCTGAAAGAGTCCCATGAACAGATCTGTCGAGTCCATGTGGATCCTCCACAAGGTCAGATGAATCTTGGTTCAGGGAGGTACTAGTTACTACCCCTGCCATCTCATTCTTACTCCACATTTATGGAGCAGTGGTTGGCAACATGCCTCTTTTTGTGAGTGGACAAATACTGAAAGATTTAACTAAATTAATTAAATATGACACTTAACTATGTATTTAAAATCCTGTTGAAGAATAAAGTGTGAAAGAAAAATCTATTCCCGTTTAAACAATTTATTATTTATTATGCAATCCAGGAAAGATGATGTTTGGCTCTCCCCTTTTGTAAAATACAACTGTGCCTGAACATGTCATTAACATTTAAATGTAGATTTTAATCACCAGGTAATGGTTAATAATACTTCTTCTTTTTTAAATGCAAAGGATAGTAACAGTTAAACTGAAACAGGGGGTGCTAAGTTTTAGGTTAATGTGCTCACAATTCGTTCTAAGATCTCTAACATCTGTCTGAAAATATTTCCCCACAGTATGATGGTGCAAATGTGTCTTATTTATTCACATATAGAGTTGAAATAAGTTCAGCCGATTTCCATATGTCCCACAACCAGGAACATATAGTAATTTTCTACTGCCCTCAAAATGTTATTTCCAGTTGATATTGGCTTTTCTTTTCTCACAAATCTTGTTATAGCATTTTATAAACGTTTTATTTCATAAGGATTGTTATGCCTTACACCCTATCTATTGCTTGATTTTCCTTGGCTAATACAATCCACTCATGTTTGGTTCACTTCTTATAAAAGTGTTGTGTCAAGAGGACTTAATTGTATTTATGTATGTAAATAGGTTTTAAAGGCTTCATATTAAAAATATTGTTAATGCTTGTAAGTATTTGACACCTCTCATTTGATACACCTTTTCTGAACTTGCCTTTGCTAAATACTGTAGGAAACTTATTTCTTTCCAACTTAATTATTTTAGCTTTCAAGATAAAATTATTTTAATTGCTTTGTAAACAGTTACAGCATGGTTTCATGTGGCACATCAGAAACTCCACTTTATTGTTGTAGGAGAAAATGAATGTGCAAACAACTGTGGGTTATTTGTGGTATTCTGAAAGTTTTTTAAAAAATTAAAAAATGCTTTTCAGTAAGCTCTTGTTGCTTGGCATATGTAATGGGTAGATCACAATGGCAAACGGTGCTGATTTGGAAAATGTTGCTGCATAGGCAAGTTCAGCATTTTCAAGATCTGTTTAAAACTAATTTGTGCTGTGTACTGGCAATTCATGCATCTTCTCCTGATTTTGTCATATGGCTTACTTTCAGAAGGGGGATATATTTTTCCCAAGGGATCGAAAGAGTCTGTCCCACCCACCCCCCAACTCCACCATATTTCTAGATATTGTATCTGAGTAGGCACTTCCTGTACATACCAAGGTCAATGTGTTCAGGAGAATTCATTGTGAGTAGCATGCAGAGCAGCTGGACTGCTGCATTTGTTCTAACAGAAACTCGCTTTCTTTGTACCACAATTTCTTCTGTACATTCAATATTATAATTAGTGTGAAAGACAAATAAACTGTTTGGGAAATAAGCAAGTGTTGAATTGCTTCATTTATTTTACTGAGCTCTGCAGACTTGAGTTTGATATTTGTAAACTTGGAGCATCTTGCACAAGATTCAAACTCTTTGTTTTGTTTTGTTTGGGGGTTGTTTGTTTTTGGCTGGCCTTGGTAACCAGCTGGGATTAGTAGCTGCAGATGTTCTCCGCTTTTTTCTTTGACACACACAGAAGAGAGAAAGGAATGGTTAGTCT